ATGTTAGCATTAAATTTAAAGTGCAGTTACGTGAAAGTGGGTGTCATTTTGATGAGTAATACAACAGAAGACGAGTTTATATTGGCTGTTTGGAACTTTACTTTTCAGTTATGAGAAATGGCGAATGAGTGAATGAAGAAAGATAAGAAGAGAAGTCATATGATACTTTGTATTTTAAAACAAAATGGGGAGTGTAAATAAATCGTACCTACTAACGACTATATTTAAACTCCTGCTTCAGAGACTTTTGAAGACAAGCAGGAGTTTAAATATAGTCATTGGTGCTAAGCAAGAGTTTAAATACAAGCATCAGTGTTAAGCAGGAGTTTAAATATAGCTGAAATGTTATTTATGTTATTAATTACTACACTATTGTTGTACCTTGCTGGTATTTTAGTGTGGAAGCGTTTATCGGCAAGGACCAGTCACATTAGCATTACAGATGCCAGTACAGCTCGTAAAATTTTAAAATCCCCCTCAGTCTATCAACGACATCCGAATAACAAATGGATGGTCACAAAATTAGGAATTTGTAATGGATTTGTGATTGAGGATATTGATTATCAAAAAAGATTCACCGCTACAGTTCATTCTTGTTTATTACGCAATAATACGAAATACAAGTATTTATTGAAAGTTGTTAATGATATCATTACAGAAGAAGTTGTTGAACTAGAAGAATTAATATTGTCACGCTGGATACAAAAAGTAACTTTATATTCATTTTCGAAAACATTTTTGAATTTAAATCCATCAGTAAAATTGTTAAACGAGCTGCCTACATTAATCAATGAAATATGGTTGAAGCAGAAAACAGGAGGAGACACACAAACACTATCCAATGACCTATTTAGATTATTGGAAAATGAGATACCTTCTCAGGTTTTAAATAATAATGAGAATGATAACTGGACTAAAATACAAAACGTCATGGTTTCTGTTAGAAAAACAACAGCAGATAAGTTAAATGTAAAAAATTTTGATAATTTATTTAATAATGTTTTAAATATAGTGATACCAGGATATGAATCAATGTGGAGTCTTATTTTTTATACAATGTTGGAATTACTTCGTCGACCTGCTTTGTTAGAAGAATTGAGAGACGGTCTTCTTGATGATAACAATCGTCTTCTGAGAAGTATTATTCAAGAAACATTACGCTTGTATCCACCCTCAAGGTCAATTCATCGAACAAGAGCAACCGATAATGCACAGGTGGTAATTGATATTAATAAAATACATCGTAATACAGTAGTGTGGGGTATCGACTCACATTTATTTAATCCTAATCGTTTTAGAAAATTAACAGACTCACAGTCTGACGCATATTTACCATTTTCAATAACATGTCCCTCGAGACAAAGTTATACATACAGATTTTCTGGGGCAATAATTAGTCAAATCATTGACAAATATCAACTTCGTATTAGTCATGGTAATTTACCACCTGTAGATACTCCTTTAAATAGTAACACCAGACAGTCGTATGGTGATATTATGGTCCAATTCCAAAAGCGCTGAATTTTCTTTGCTATTTTTTTATTATATAAAACATTTGTTTTCCACTAACCATATGATATTCGGGAAATATAAACGTTCGCTAATCTAAAAAATACATGATATTGTATTGTTGCTTTCAAATATATTTCATCCACAAGGAAAATCTTAAGCTCATCATCTGTGATTAGAGGCTAATAAAGTCCGACATATAAAGTTTTGATATTTCGCAGGTGATGGATCCAATGAATTCTCCATTGGAGATTTGAAGAAAGGAATGAGCTCTTGCAGAATCCCCGCCTCGCTCTGCTACTAAAATTTTGGTAAGATATGCCTGGTCGGTATGAGATATCGACTATTTCCTTGTGTTATTCATACTTGGAAAATAATGTGAGAAACTCGTAGATAACAATAATAAAGAGAATCGAAACGAAATAGGCTACAGTGATAAATACTGTGTTTATATGAACTATGTTAACGCTAGCATTGCCGTTTCTTAGATCACAATTTGTTCTTTTTAAAGGTAGTCACGATGTGTCGGCAGAATGGTACAATTTAGTTATTGATAATTTCCTTGTTGACAGTTTCCTCGCTGCATTTTTTTTTC